TCTCTCTCTCTCTCTCTCTCTCTCTCTCTCTCTCTATTGCCTCAAGTCATCTCTAAAACAACTTTTTATATTTTTTCGTTTTCCGTATTATCCATATAATAACTTATAAGGTTTTGTAAAGTATATTAGATCTAAAGGTTATTAAATCTAATGCGATAAATATAACACTTTTTATCCGATATTTATATATTATTTAAATTTTTATTTTATAAATATTTATTATTTCTTTGCCAACCATTTACTACAAAAGTGTCGAAATGTTTGTTTATTTTATTAGTAAAAGTTTATTTGATTTTTGTTTTTATCACTTCCTAAAAAAGTTTGTTTATTTGAGGATTATTTGAGATTAAATAACATTTGAAAATCTGACATATTTAGCGAATATTTCTATATTTCTATAGTTTTTCAATTTTTCTTTTTGGAAACTAATTAAATTTTAATCGATTTTAACATTATTTTTTGCCCTTGAATTTAATAAAAACTAATAAAACGTATGTTTTTGCCACATAATACGACAGTCTTATAGTACAGTATAAGACTTATACATCCAATATATTGTCTTTTACATAATTTTTTCCTCACAAATACCATTTTTAGGAGTTTTATAGGAATTTGTTTCAAAAATCCTGATATTTTGTTGACTTGTGTTTTGACAAACATGTGTCGCAACTACTGTAATACGAGACATTGAAAATACATTAATGATTGCATAACAGCACTGAATTTAAGCAGAAATTCTCATATAATAGACAATGAGAATGAAAACATTGATTGCAATCATTTCATGAATTCTTTATACAGTGTTATTGATTGAAGTGAACGAGTCTTTTATTGTGAATAGGAGTGTATTTATATTTGCATTTATTATAAAATAATTGCACTCAATTTATACTTCATTCACTTTAATTTGCTTATATTTAAGACCTTTCATTCAATGTTAGTTTAAATTATAAAAGCATTTAATGATTCGTTAATTGGAAATAAATTTCATCTAAAACTAAACTTTTCTTTCATAGCAAAGAATTGTTATTTGCTTTTGAGTTAATAATATATTTACTGTATATACAGTATAAACTGGTTCTTCATATGGAAAATATGATATTATTATAAGTTTTTTCCTCTTTTATTTGTTTGTTAGTGAATTCAATGCAAACTTTATAATAAAATTATTAAGTTCTCAATACAACGAGTCCTTTGAAAAAATGTCAAAATCTCTTGACATAAGAGTAGAATTGTTATTAATATTTGTTTCATTATTTTAACGAATGATTTGAATTAAGGAATTCTTTGTAAATGTATAGAAATAATGGTTTGGGAAAAATAATTATAAAATTAGATTTTTATCAGTGTTTAGATTGAACACTAAAAATATGTCAATCTTTATATTAAAGATATTAGAAATAATAAAATATATTTCAAGTGTTTTTACAATTTCGATGCACTTATTGTTAGTCTAATAATAATAGTGTTGACCCCAAGTGTTGAGGAGTTTTGAACAATTGTATAATTAATTTACGAAATGAAAAACAAATAAAACACTTTAAGGTCAGAGATTTATTGGGTGTAAACTATTATCCGTGTGGACTGGCGTCGAGTTTGTTGTTTCTCACAAAAAAACTTTTGAAACCTTTTTGCGGAAATCGAAAACATCTTCATATGACCTGAAGATACACTTTAATGTTTGCATTCAATATAACATACACTGAATATACTGTTAGTTTAATAGCATTTTAATTGTGTACTCATTATTTGATTCACAACTCTTTGTTGCACATAAAGAATATATTAAACCATAATCTCTATTATTATGAATAAATGTAATTACTTGAGTATATACTAAATTACATGTATTACCGTACATCCAGGTCATAATAGTGCCGCACTCTCACAACGACCCGGGATGGCTCAAGACCTTTGAGCAGTATTTCTACGACCAAACCGCTTATATCCTCAATAATATGGTCGACAAATTGAATCAATACCCAGACATGAGCTTTATATGGGCTGAAATGTCATTCATGTCGCGCTGGTGGGACAGGTATCTCATAACCACATGCCCGACCTTTGAGTTCAATTTAACACTTTGTTATTTTAAAGTCTTAAGAATCGTCCGGAAATGAGAGAATCGGTTCGCAATCTCATCAAAAGAGGTCAACTCGAGATCGTGACCGGGGGTTGGGTTATGACAGACGAAGGCGCCGCTCATTACTACGATATGATTGATCAGCTCATAGAAGGCCATCAATTCCTGAGAACAAGTGTTGGTTTAACAGAATCTCCGATCAATGGCTGGTCTATCGACCCGTTTGGTCACGGAATGACTTTCCCTTATATTTTACAAAAGTCGGGAATCAGTAATACGTTAATACAGAGAACACATTTCGGTTGGAAACAGGAATTGGCGTCAAAACAGATGTTGAATTTCATTTGGAAACAGAGTTTTGACACCAAGAATATGTCGGACCTGTTCTGCCAAATGTCTGCTTTTGATTTGTACTCAATTAAGTTCACGTGCGGACCAAACACTGATATATGTCTTCAGTACGATTTCAGACGTATAGCCGGAGAGTCCTCGGAGACCACATCTATTCGTATAACTCATGAGAACATCAAAGAAAGAGCCGGTCTTATGATGAGCCAATACGGACGTCTGGCCTCTCTCTACAAACATAACGTAGCAATCGTGCCATTGGGCGATGACTTTCGGTTCAATATTGACACGGAATGGGATCAACAGTACAAGAACTACAAAATGCTTATGGATCACATCAACAGTAATCCAGTGCTTTATAATAAAACTGAGATCACTTTCGGCACTCCCAACGACTACTTCACTGAAGTTCACCAAAGAATGCAGAAAATCAATCAAAACAAATACCCGACTCTTTTCGGTGATTTCATGCCATACGGAGACGTTTACGTCGATTCTAAACCTCACTATTGGACCGGTTATTACACTACCCGTCCATTTTGGAAGTCATTGTCTCGAGAATTACAGCATTATCTAAGAAGCGCTGAGATTGTCTACTCGTTGGCCAGAAATCTTGTCCGACAAACAGGTAATCATAGGATGAGTGAAAGACTAGACAAAGACTATCAGTACTTATCGTCTGGACGTCAGAATTTGGCGCTTTTCCAACACCACGACGGCATCACCGGTACGTCCAAAGAGCATGTTATGGAAGACTACGGCAAACGTATGAGTCGTTCAATCGTCGACTGTTTGGGACTTATCTCACACTCCGTTCAGTTCCTACTAATGAAAGACCACTCAATCACACCGTTAGACATGAACGCCGCGCACCCGTTGACGGCATACTTGTTCCCCGATCTTCAGCGACCCAATTGGGATGAATTGACTCAAAAAGTGGTTCTTTCGGTGCCATCAGTGGACGGAAGAAAGATAGTTGTCTTCAATTCTCACATTCAGACCCGCATTGAAGTGATCAGAGTATTAGTGAAGACACCTGTCGTTCGAGTACTCGACGCACAGAACGGAAACGAAATCCAATCACAAGTTAATCCCGTATTCAACACCACGGCTGCCATTTCGACACATGCTTTCGAAGTAGAATTCTTGGTCTCATTGCCAGCCCTTTCGTTGACCACATTTGTGATCCAGACATTTGAATACAGACACCGAACACACCATCGCCCGAAGGTATCGCTGTTTCTGAGTGACGCCAAACAAGACGAAGACATCTTTGCATTGAATGAAAACAAAATTCATCCCAAAGTCTTTAGTTTTGACACTCCTTTTGATAAGGACTACGAGTTGGAGACGCCGTATATCAGAGTGGGTTTTGATCGGCGGACAGGCTTTTTGACACACATTTACGACAAGCGCTCCAATTATCTGCAGAAAACGAAATTATCTTTTATGGCCTACAAATCGGCTGACTTTAATAGCGGCGCCTATTTGTTCAGACCATCGAAGTTCGATCCCATGCAGAACATCACCGAACGGTTCCCTGTTATGAGACTTATCAGAGGAGACTTAAGTTCAGAGTTGACTGTCATTTATCCCAATTATATTGAAGTGAAGTTCAAAGTGTATAACACATACGCCTCCGTTGGAAGCGCTCTTCAAATGCACTGTAAGTTTGATGTCTCCGAAAGACCAGATCTCGTGAATTGGGAGTTAATTATGAGATTAGAGACAGACATCGATAGCATTGATCCAAAAGATGGTCGAAAGAGATTTTTCGTCGATTCAAACGGCTTTCAAATGATGGAAAGGAAATATACCGACAATTTGGGTATTGAAGGCAACTATTATCCCATGACTTCTGCTCTCTATATCGAAGACAATAACTCGAGGCTCACATTACTCTCGTCTCACTCTCGGGGAGCGTCGAGTCCTTTCAACGGAACCGTTGAAGTGATGCTCGAAAGGAAACTCCAATTCGACGACAATAGAGGTCTCGGCGGAGGAATTCTTGACAATAAGTTAACGGTTTCGCGCTTTTGGATCGCAATCGAGCGCATCGACCAAAACGTCTCCAAAGAGCCAATTGTCCCAAATTTATCCCAATTAATGCACTCATTGTTGTCGACCCTTCTGTACGAACCCATTGTATTGGCGTCCGATGGCCGCGAAGACCGACCCATTCATACGGCGCTGCGTTTTCTGAGCGATCCGTTGGATTGCAACCTATTTCTAGTCAATATGCGAACCCTTCCCGACGCCAATGACTTCAATTCGCCGTCATTTTCGAGTCTACTTGTGGTCCACAACAGAGACAACTCGTGTCGCACTCGACGACAGAT